AATATATATAAAAATATATATATAAATATATATATATTTAAAACATTTTAAGGCAAAATCAAACAAGAATAAGAATAATTGCAACAATATGAATACTATAAGGTTGTAGATAATTTTTCTTGCTTTATTAATTTATTCCATGATTATTAAGCACCTATTGCCTGTCAGTCACTGTTCTGGAGATTTTCTACACCTAAAGGAATAAAGTATAATCTTATAATCTTGCTTTCAAGGTGCCAATATCTATGTGGGGGAGGTTAAAAACAAGAAAAATCATAAGAAAATAATGTATTTAAGGAAAATTTGAACGGAACTACAAGAAAAAATGAAAGTTAAGCTATCCATGGCAGTGGCATATCATATGCAAGCTATCTGACTAGTTAGTTTTGTCTAGCCGCTTGATACTATTTTATAAAGTTGTGAATATGCTTGTGTGCACTGATTAGCATGTTTTGCCTTCATTAATTAATTGATCATGCCTTAGAAGCATTCCAAAAATAGGTCTCTCTTGTCTGTGTGTCTGTTTTTAAATGCTGGCTTACCATGCTGGCTTTATTTCTTCAAGCTTCTGTGGTATTTAAGTCTTGAATAAATATATATTACGATGTCACCTGGAGTGGGTTTAAAGGCTGCCTTCAAGGACATTGTGTTCAATGATAATCGAATTTCATGTGCTACTGAGTCAGAGTCACATTGAGTTATCATGTCAAAGAGCAGGCTTTTTGTCTTCGGTACAAAAGACAAGCTGCTCAAATGTTACAGAATTCAGACGCCCAAGTCATTAAGATGTGGTTGTACATAAAAGATGCAGCACTGATAATTCAAAACAGACAAGAAGAATGTGCTGTAGGAATAATTCTTCTTCAAGTCATAATATCTAGCACAAAACATAAATAAAGCCCTCTTTTTCTCCTTCAGTTCCCTGCTGTGAAGGAATCACTGAGCCAACTTGTTATCTGCCAGTAACAGCAAGTTGTGGATAGGTCTTCAGCTACAGAGGCCTATATTTTTTTTTCTCTATATATTTTTTAACAAGATAAGACTGAGAACAAGGAAGCTCAGTGCTTTAAGAACTAAACATTCCACTGTTAAACTGAAGGTTAGCAACTGGAACCCATCCAGCAGTTCTGCAGGAGAAAGATCTGGAAATCTAATTCAATGAGAATTATAACCAAGAAAACCCCAATAAACCTTTCTTCTGTGTCACAAGGGGTCCTTGTGAATCAGAGTCAGCTCAAGGGCACCCAAACACTAGTGAGAGCCTAAGATCTCCAACCAGAAAGTAACTGGCACAAGAAATGAAAAACATCTGTGACAAATTATTCATCATAGTACTTCTCGAGCCCCATGTTGATTTCTCTGAAGTTAGGAAATAACACATAGAAATGTGTTTAATGGTTGCTTGTGTGCTGTTGTTTTCGTCATACATTTTGGAAAAACAAGTCCACTCTAATCTAGTTATATATATAGATTGGACCTCTAATTCTGTAATAAATGGAAATGATATTATAGGATTCCTCCACTTAGACTTGTTTATTTCCAGTCTACAACTATGTTTTCCTGTCTCATTACCTAACCATAAGTCACTTTGTTAATGTCTTCTTTTCACCCTCCCCTGCCACAAAATTACCCATTTTTCTAGTTCCAACTCAAGCAAGCCTGCTCCTTGGTGAAGCCTTCTCCAACCAACATAATCTAAGGTAGTCTCTCGCTTCACTCAGATCAGATCATGACCTAAGGTCATACTTTCCAAGTCTAGAAATGTATAGAATCACTTCCTGGTGTTAGTTATTACATTCAGAAGCTCACAACTACAAGAGGGTTAGTAAGAGCTGTTGATTTTTTCAAAGAACACAATTTATAACCAAGTTTCTTTCTTAAATGAAAATTGAAATTTGCGACATATAACTCACAACTGTTATGAATGGTAATTCCCTGATGAGTCCATGAAAGTTATTTAATTCACAGTTTATCTGAGATATAGTATCAATATATTCTTTACAGTATTTTTTCTGAGAAAATTTACTTTATTGGAAAAATATATTGTTTTGTTCTTTCTACACTTCTGCTTTCAAGCTGATAAAAATGTTAAGTGACTAACGTTGGTATGTCTCATTGAGTCACATGCAACTCATAGCCCTCCTATGTACATTAGCTCTGAACTCTGCCCTATCCTGAGCCAATCTCATCTTCTCTGATAGACCTAACTCCATTTATCTATCTAGTCTTTGAGTCAATCCATCTCATGGGGTCTTCCTCTCCTGTGCTGTCCCTCCACCCTTCTAAACATGATGTCCCTTCTCTAAGGACTCCTAGCCACACGCCCAAAGTATGTGAGATGGAGTAGTCATTGATAATAAAATACCCTAAGTCTCCCAGCTTGATCTGTGACTTCCTGGGGACTGGCAGTACTCATCCTTACCGCCTAGTTTAGGAGTCTCTTTTCTGCAGCTTCTGCTGAACTGCATGTGAGCATTAAATGTTGAATGGTTTCCATCAACTGAGAAAACACTGATTAGTCCTTGTGGGTTGAAGAATTCAGAGTGGAGAGCTTAAAACAGAACTTCACAGCATCCTCTCACTCCGACTTTTTAGATATTTCTATTAAAGGGACTGGAGTTTACTTAAAACCAATAAATAAAGTTAGTTGACTGCTTTATTTTACCTGAATTTATAAAAACTTAAAAGTTTTAAATATGATAAACCTCTTTGGCTTTTTTGACCTTTTCTTTCAGACAGCTAGTTTACAAAAGTACTCATTAGAGATCTTTAAAGATAAAACAGCATGAAAAATTATTTATGGATGAATCTTTTTGACCCAAAGTGCAATCTTTTTTTAATTTAAAATATAGTCAGTAAAACAAAAATAATAACTAACAATAAAACAACAGAAGTTATAAAAATAAGTGAAAGCTTATTTTCTGCTCATTTCTCTTTCCTACCAATTCCTTTTTGGTGAGCCTAGAGTTTTCTTCAGAAATCAAAGCAAATAAGAATGATCATTTCCATTTGTGCAAACATGACTGAGGCAATCACTCCTCTGTCAGCTTATTTTGCAGCTAAAAGGAGAACAATTGCTCTTACCTCTTAGCTCACCCATATCCAGGGTTGTCCCAAGTTGTTCTAATAAAGCGACTCTTGCTGCATTCTTTTTGTGTTTCTTGCCATCATAGTGTTGCTGGGCCATCAGAGGGTTATTAAACCAGGCTGCACAGAGTCCACAGTATCTGTCAGAATCTCTTCTTTGATAGGGAGATGCAACCACAGGCGCAGTGTCCACCCTTGGGGGTTTCAGTGGGCTCAGGGGTGTTGCTGTGAAGGAAAAGAACGAGAAACATAGGCCACATTAGTTCACTGTTGAATTCACGCCTTCTCAATATCTAACGCCACAAGAGCCTCAAGTTTATGCCACAGTTTATGGAACACAATGAAAATCATCTTCACCAGCCTTCACCTCTGTCTCAAAAACGCATTGCCTTCGAGTGAGAACCAACATGTAATTCACCCTCCAGTGAATTTGGATTTTTAGAGACTTTAACTTGCATGATAAGAGGCTGGCTCTCTTTCCCCCTCTGCAATGCTGGTGCGTTCGAACTTCATACATCTGGGTTGGTAGTTCAACTCCTTACCCAGTGAGCAATTCATAAATATAGACATCAGATTTTGTATATCATTATGCCAAACTCTTTTATTCTAAGTAGTTGGGTTTTGTGGGAGTTTTTTATTGTGATGTCACAAAATGACAAATACTGCATGACACCACTGTTACAAAACAGGACTGACCTAGGGATTGTGGGGAAACTAAGAGAGGATAAATAATGAACACCGCATTGGAACCAATAAAGAAAGAATTGTTTCAAAGGAATACATGATTAGGCATCATCTGTAAGACAAGAGTCCAAAGTTAAGAGGTGTATGACAAACTCGTAACAGCTCAAAAGGCTACCACATAGGAAAAAATGGGATGCTTAAATGAATAAACTCCTGATGATAACCAAAATAAAGTCAACTTTAAAAATAAAGTTATTCCTGGAGAAAACATTAATATTAATGATTTCAATGATTCTGAAGGAGTGACTTGAGCATTTGTGTGTGGTAAATGACAGGAATTAATAAAAAGAAGATTTGCCCAAGTGCTGAAGGCAGATCTTTCAATGACATGGATCACACCAACTGAGAAATCACGCTCATTTTACTGCCAGTGACTTCTGTTTATTGTGGTAGGTTATTTTCAGCCCGTACCTGCTAAAATCGATGCCAAATGTACAACACATATATTTTTAAAGCTAAAAGAAAAAAATGCTAGAGAACAGATGTTGCTTATCTAAACTGAAAACTCATATTTCACTATTTTGAGATTGGGAGTCCCACCTATTAATTTAACACATCCCATCATGTGCTTACAGTTAATTTTGGTCCAAGAAGAAAAGAACCTAAGTGGAAGGAGTTTACACATACAAAGTATAAATAACTTTTGAATATATTACAACATGCATATTGCTTTCATCCTTATAAAGACATTGAGACTGCAATTACTGTTGATATCTTTCTTGGGTTATGGGATAGAGATACATGATGTCTCTTACTTATGCTGAGCTATCTCTCACACTCTTTTTCTAGGGTGCTCTGGTGACATAGACCTAGGGAGCTGTATTGTTAATCCAAAGGCCACAGCTGTCCAAGGGTTCAAATCCTTCCAGGACTCCACAGGATAAAGATAGCTGATACTTACAGCCTCAGAAGCCCAGTAGAGGGTCTCATAGTAGAGCTATGAATACACTACGTAGTTATAGTAAAACAGCACTCAAAACTACACCTTCAATTTCCAAGGCCTATCTTCTTTACAATATCATCAAAGAGTCATCACCTACATCTTAAGTCTTCTTTGAGAAGAAAGACACTTAATTCTAACAAAATCCAATGGCCCCAATACAGATAACTGACAACAACTTCTGTTTGTTACTGTGTCGCTGAACAGCACAACAAAACCGACAAAATTATAAAAATCAGAGTTGTTTCAAGAAATGGCTGTGATCTTGGACCTCAGTAAAGAGTGAAGAGCCTCTTATCTTCTCCTCAAGATTTTAATAACCTTTATAATGGGATTTTATATTTTTAGGTGAAACAAATGAGAAAGAAAGTGATATTTTCATTTTTAAAATGCTGAATCATGAGAGTGTCTTGAGGTAGTCTTTATGTCCTCATACAGAAAAGACATGGTCCGTTTAGATGAAAAGTAAGGGAGTTAAATCTATAAGAACTGAGACAAAGCATATGTTTCTTAAAGGCCTTGTTAAGGATTGGGCTAGATATCAATAAAGCTCTACTTTGAACCCCAGGATTCCAGCAGCCTCTCAGTATCACTTCACTCAGACTTGTTGTTGTTGTTATGTGCCCTCGAGCTGTTTGTGACTCATAGCGACCCTATGTACAACAGCCCTAAACCATGCTCTATCCTGTGCCAGTCTCATTGCCTCTGACACACCCATGCCGATTACCCCAGTCACTGAATCAATCCACCTCATAGAGGGTCTTCCCCTCCTGTGCTGTCCCTCCACTC